AAGAAAAATACACGAGAAGAACAAGGAAGATTTGGACCAATTAAAATTAAAAGAAGAAAAACAAAGAAAAATACACGAGACGAACAAGGAAGAATTGGATAATTTTAAATTAAGAGAGGAAGAAAAGAGAAAAATAGATGAGAACAACAGATCTAGAGAACAAGACGAGAAGAAGAGAATTCATCAAGCAATCTTAACTTCACAAACTGACACCTAATGTACAACACTATCACCTGATATAACAGTTCATAAAGAATGTTGAAACTGTTATTAATGCAAGACCTTCGTTTTTCTTTTATAACCAGTAAATAGGATTACTAATAGTAATTTGGAGTACTGTATTTTGTAGCACTCTTTCTTGCTGTTAAAAAGGATGAAAAAAATTGTATGCTTATCTTCTGTATGCTTCTATATTGCCTGCTTACATATTATATAATCCTCGAGTCCTTTAGGAATGATCTTGATGCACTTAATTTAAACATTTTATACTCTTTTATTATGTGTTATTAAACTCTATTGCTGTCAGATATGAGCATACCTATATTTTGTTGTTGCATCACCTTAAAAACAAAAAATAAACACATTTGTATGGCCATTCACCCAAACATTAAAAAGTTAACTTCTGAAATCCAAAACCAGTGTGCTTATCTTTATTATCTGGTGATTAGCTTGCAACATTCAAATCAAATATAACGGATCATGTTTTAATCTTTCTTTTTCAAAACGTTTGTTATTACACTTAGAGCATTTAGCACCGCATGCTTAGAATTAGCTGTCTGCTGAAAAGGAAATGTTTGAACGCATTTTGCAAGTCCTGAAAAATACATTTAATTAAAAAAAAATAATTATTGCTTATTAATGCAGAGATAGTCTGCATGTGAGATAAAAGTCACGTCTTTGTCCCATGCAAACAGAGATATATAAATAAACTTCTTATGTGGCTGGAAGGGGGGGAATCAAGTGTGATGAACCCTGTCTTGTGATTAGGACTTTTATTTTGAAATGTTTTGCTTTCTCCTGCTGTATCTGTATTTGCTTATTGGTTTCTGTTCTTGTTTGCCTCACTGCCTTTGTTCCCTTTGTCTGCCTTGTTTGTTTCTATGGCTACCCTTGTTTGTTGCAATGGTTACTAATTACTCTCACCTGTCAGACCTTTGTTTCCCAGAGTATTTATACCCTTGTGTATGTCTACTGTAGATGCCCTTGTTCCTGGTTATTGTTTCCAAGTTTCTTGTTTATCAGTGTTTGCGTTGTTTTGCCATCTTGGATCCACCTCATCTTGCCTTTGCTCAGTTCCTAGCATTACAGTAATATATTTGTAAGGGCCAAGTACACTTTTTATGGCATAGCAGGCAGCTCTCTGCTTGATCTCCTACACCAGGCTTTCTCAAACTGGGGTCCTGGGGCACCAAGGGACCCATAAGGGGCTGCTAGGGGAAAAAGATGAATTTGACAGTATTACTCTTTTTTTCTGCATTGTAAAGACTGCTTATTTTATACAACAATATTTTTTTTTGTTCAATTATATCTTTATTTAACTTTAAACAGGTTCAAGGAAGAGTTTAAAGTGTGAAACTAGTTAAAGAAATTCAAATTTACATGTATATAAATTACATATAATTTATTTTGTAGAGAGGGAAGCCATATTTCAGAACAGAGGCCTCAACCAGCTTCATCAGAAACATGTCTGGCTCTGGGACTCTTGAACTGGCTTGTCTTTGCCGACCGTTTCAGTTGGGAATGCTGTATGACTGCAGAAGCGATGCTCTCATTCCAGGTAATAAAATCACAAATACACTACTATAGAAATGAAATTACAATAACATGATCTAAATGGTTTTAAAACTTAAAACAGGATGAATGAATAATCTCAAAGATATTAATAATAATACATGCCCAGTACAGTGGATACGCTGGCCTCGGGAGACTGAAAGAGAAATTAAACAGTTGTTCATAGTTTTGACTTAATTTAACAGGCAATATATACATTCTTTTTAGGAATAACTCTCTGGGACTCTGAAATGCTACAGAAAAATATTAATGTACGACTTCAGCCAAACACTGACTTCAAAATCATTGCCTCAGATTCAAGTGAAGAAAAAGTAGAAGCTTTGAGTGTTTCTGCATCTCTTGAAGCCAGCTTTCTGAGTGGATTAGTCAGCGTGAAAGGCTCAGCTGGCTTTTTAAATGACAAGAAGAAGTCCAAACATCAGTCTCGAGTCACCCTACATTATCGGACAACATCACGTTTTGAGCAGTTAACTATGGAGCATCTTGGAGCAGGGAACGTAAAACACTGCAATGTATTTGAGGAGGGCTCAGCTACACATGTTGTTACGGCTCTACTGTATGGAGCTCAAGCATTCTTTATTTTTGACCGTGAGGTTTCGTCCAATGAAAACCATCAGGAGATACAAGGTGACCTCCATGCAACAATCAAAAAGATACCTTCATTATCAATTGAAGGTCAAGCATCTTTGAAAATGAGTGAATCAGAAGAAGATAAAATAAACAAGTTCAGCTGCACTTTCCATGGAGATTTTGCTCTGGAAAATAATCCAGTTTCCTATTTAGATGCCATCAAGGTGTACTCAGGCCTGCCAAAACGGTTGGGAGAAAATGGAGAGAATGCTGTGCCCATGACTGTTTGGCTGTACCCTCTAAAAAAACTAGATTCAACAGCTGCTCAGTTAATCAGGGAGATCAGTGTTGGCTTAATACGACATGTCCACCGGATCACGGATGAACTGGATGATTGTGACATACAATGTCAAGACCTAATGAGGAACAATATCACCATTCAATTCCCTGAAATCAAATCCAAGCTCAGAAAATTTAAGGACTTCTGCTCAGAGTACAAAATTGTTTTTCAAAAACATCTCTGCAGGCTTCTTCCATCTATAAGGGGTGGAGGAAAAGAAGAACAGGAGCTTTCCGATTATCTGAACAGAAAAGAAAGATCGCCGTTTCAGGGTGCTCTGTTAACCAAGTATCTAAGTGAGCGAGAGCGAGAGATGAATGTTGTTGGATCTTACCTCGACATCATGAAAGAAGTCCAAGTTCTTTCATCCAGCACTGATTTGGACAAGCTTGTCTTTAAAGCATCCAATGTGATAGTCTTCGCACTCTCATCCTTAATAGACCATGACCCATACCTTTCAGAATTGGAGAATTACCTGAAGGAACAATCATGTAACAATGGAGAACAATTAAAGTATGATCAAAACTCTACAGAAAAGGCAAAGAAATGGTTTTCCTCAAGAGATGTAACTGCACTGACCAGGGAAACGATACAGGCCTTCCTAGATTTCAAAGAAGCCAATGATGGAAGAAAGAACACGGAGTTCTGCATTGCATCAATCCCAGATGAACTCAGTACTGCCTCTTCAATTCATGTTTATGAAAGGGGACGACTCGTGAGCTTACAGTATGAGCTACCCTCAAAACCCCCAATGCCTGTTTTCTTGAGTGCTGAGCATGACTGCATACGTCTGCAAATCAAACCTCCTGACCGTGGTGTTAGTTGTGTGGAGTCGTACTGTATCTCATATCAGTCTGCAGACAGCTCTGAATGGACACATGTGTGTACTAATGGGGTTTCTGATGAGATCACTGTCAAGCCGTTACAACCGCATAAAGAATATTGTTTTACCTGCAAGGCAGTGTGTCGTCCAGGGTTAAGTCTGACTAGTGACACAACATCATTCTTCAGGACCCATCCATGTGCCCCTCCAGGAGCACCTAAAGTGAAACGAGTGGAATCTGAGTCTGCAACTGTAGTGTGGGATGTTCCTACTTCTGTGGGTGAGGACATCCTGGTCACTGATTATGTGTTGGAATTCAGAGAATGCACAAAAGATCAGGAAAATGAAATGCCATGGAGGTCTGTGAAATCTGCGTACAAGGAGTGCACTCTTCAGGGACTGGAAGCAGATGCAATTTACACACTTCGAGTTTTGGCCAACTGTGGTAATAACGGAGTGAGTCTTCCCAGTCCTGAAACTGTGTTTTCTGCTGGTTCAAAGAGCAAACAGTCAGGTGAGGTTGGAAGTGGGTCATTCTTGGATCAATCTTCACGTATACAGAAGGGGCATCCTTCAATACATAAACTGACACTATACCAAAAAACTCAAGAGAATGCAGATTTTAATCAGTATATATTTGGAAGAAAAGTGGAGGACGTGAAAAACAAAGTAATTCTTCTTTTGGGATCAACGGGTGCAGGAAAAACCACACTGGTCAATGTGATGATCAATTACATACTGGGCGTAAAGTGGCAGGATGCGTATCGCTTCAAACTAATCAATGAAGTAACCAATCGCTCACAGGCTGAGAGTCAGACATACAACGTCTCCTCTTATGAGCTGTACAATCAGCCTGGCTTTCAAATTCCCTACTCTCTCACAATTGTAGATACACCCGGCTTTGGTGATACAAGAGGAATTGAACATGATAAACTGATAATGCAGCAAGTCAAAAGCTTTCTTTGTAGCCCTTTGGGAATTGATCACATTGATGCTGTCTGCTTCGTTGTACAGGCCTCTCTTCCCCGCCTGAGTGCCAATCAGAGGTACATCTTTGACTCAATCCTGTCGATTTTTGGCAAAGATATTGCAGAGAACATCATGATTTTGGTGACATTTGCAGATGGTAAAAAAATCCCAGTTCTAGAAGACATCACAGCAGCAGATCTGCCCTGTCAAAAGAATAAAATGGGACAACCCACCCATTTCAAGTTCAACAACACCGCTGTGTATGCAGACAAAAAAGTAGAAGAGCCTACAACCTATGATGATGATTCAGATGATGATGATGATGAAGACAGCAGTATGAAACTGTACGAGATTGTCTGGACATCAACTTTCAAACAGATGAAGGCTTTTTTCAAAGCACTGGGGACCACTGAAAGTAAAGATCTGACACTGACTAAAAATGTCCTGACAGAACGAGAGTGTCTTGAGAAAGTCATGGCAGATCTGAGCTCTCAAATAACTGCTGGTCTCTCTACACTGAGTGTAATAAAAACATTTAAGCAGTGTTTGGAAAATGAGAGTGAAATCTTGAAGCATAATAAGGATTTTGAGAAAGAAGTTGATGTGATGAAAGCAAACAGAATCCCTGTAGAATGTTTTACCTTGAATTGCAACACCTGCATCTTTACATGCCACTCTAACTGCTTCCTTCCTGCAGAGGATCCTGTGAGTACTTGTGCTGTGATGAATGATGCTGGTTACTGTGTTGTCTGTCCTCAAGCTTGTCATCACACTGCTCATGTAAGGGAAAAGGTCATGTGGACATATGAAATTAAAAAAGAGAAAAAAACCATTGAAGAGCTGAAAGAAAACTTCATGAAGGCACAAGGAAAATTCATGGACACAAAGCAAATGCTTGATGCACTTGAAGAGGAATTCTCTGTATTTGAGGACAAACTAAAGCAAATGATCAAAATGTCCTCTGATTGCTTGAGACGACTGGATCAAATTGCACTGAAGCCCAAATCCTTCTCCACAGCTGAATACCTTGAAATACTGATCAAAACAGAGAAGGCGGAGAAACATCCTGGATTTGAAGACCGCATTGTTGGACTCGAGAAAATTAAAAAAGAAACTCTTCTCCTGGAAAAGATAGAAAAAGGAGATAATCTGCTTAAACAATAAGATCCCGTCACTGTGGGAAGAGAGAAACAACTGAATACTGAAAATTGTGAAAATTTAAGTCTAAAATTAAAGTTTGTGTCATGATTGAAAAATGGAAATGAATACTGATGAGTTTAAAAAAAAAGTGTGGGTAAGATTCAAAATCATTTTTTCTTTTTTTTAACTTTTAACAAGGCTGAAGATAAACAGGATAGTCTCTGGACTCTATATTTAGCTATCTATCACTAACTCATGGGACTGTGGGAATGTTATTGTATTTGGAAATCTGGAGTATGTCATACTTTTGGTGAATTAAGTCATTTTATAAAATTTAAAAATGTCAAAATATTGTGAAAAATCTAATCAAGACAACTTTGCACATGCGTGATGCTATAGTGAGGTTTTATTAAAGGGGTCATCAGATGCTACATGCACTTTTACAAGTTGTTTGAACTGAAATGTTTTTTTTTTATCTACTAAACTCTTTACCCCTTTCTCAAATCGAGCCGATCTCAGATGCCTGTCTGTGTGAGGTCACAAAAACAGGCCCCTCCCACGATAGTTTGATTGACAGTAGTGTTTCAGCACAGACTGGACTGGTGTCTTACCTTAGCTCCGCCCTGAGTGACGTCACACAGACAGGCCCCTCCCACGATAGTTTGATTGACAGTAGTGTTTCAGCACAGACTGGACTGGTGTCTTACCTTAGCTCCGCCCTGAGTGACGTCACACTAAATGATTGTGTCATAATAAATAACTGAAAAATAATACACATATAGTCTGTTGTCTCATTTCAGTAGCATAACTTGCAGTTCGATGTATACAAGTGCTTGGTTCAGCATCCTAGCTAGTGAATAAAAGTGAGAAAAAAATGTTGAATGAGATTTTTAAATAAGATTTTGGGGTGTTAGAATGTCCACCATCTAAAAAGTTTAAGAGAGCAGATGCGTTTGTGTAACTTTGTATATATATATATTATATATATACACACTGAACAAAATTATAAATGCAACACTTTTGTTTTTGCCCCCATTTTTCATGAGCTGAACTCAAAGATCTAAGACTTTTTCTATGTACACAAAAGGCCTATTTCTCTCAAATAATGTTCACAAATCTGTCTAAATCTGTGTTAGTGAGCACTTCTCCTTTGCCGAGATAATCCATCCTCCTCACAGGTGTGGCATATCAAGATGCTGATTAGACAGCATGATTATTGCACAGGTGTGCCTTAGGCTGGCCACAATAAAAGGCCACTCTAAAATGTGCAGTTTTATCACACAGCACAATGCCACAGATGTCGCAAGTTTTGAGGGAGCGTGCAATTGACAGACTGCACCTTTTCCATTAAAGGACAATATTTGCTCCCTAAATGGACTTTCCAGTGCATTTTTTTATCTTTATAAATACAATATTAATAATGTTTTAATTTAAAAAAATGTTCAATAGAGTAATATGCAATGATGATAAAAAAGTGAAAAGTGATTATTTTAAATACTGAAAGCGCCAGTAGGTGGTGGTAAGTCACTGTCTTAATGCGTGAGTCATCGAGTCATTCGTTCATTCAGTAACAAAGCAAGTGGCTGTATTTATGAATGAATCATTGAATCAATGACTTTCACGAACGATTTGTTCACGTAACACCGCGAAACTCAGCATTTTGTTCGCGTACCCCCTCTGTCGCCTCACATACCCCAGTTTGGGAACCACTGTTCTACATTAAATATTTAGCTAACAACAGTCTGAAGTTACGTAGCAACAATGTATGTTAACATTAGCTCAGTCAATAGGCTAACATCAACAGGTGTAGACAGAAAATATGATTATCCTGACCTGAGCTAATTTACTGAATCAACCAACTCACATCTCCTTTCTTTCTTTTCATCCATGATGACATTAAAGTCATCTGTTGTGGCTTCTGGTGTTTCATTGCTGACTGTGCCACAATCGCGATACACGTTCATTAGAACTTTCAGTGTGCTATTTTTAGAGTGTGCACGCAACGACGTTCCTGGACGCGGATGCACGGGCCTGTGTCCTGCTCGGTCCTGCTACTCCGTGGCGATGACGGCGTGTGGTTAAAAAAAATCATAACAGACGAATTTGAAAGTGGGGGGGACA